TCTCACTCGCACATTTACAATATTAATTCCGGAATCGCAGCGTCATAAGGTTGATTTTGCTTCATCAACAATCAATGGAGAGTACATATGAACAAAACAGCCTTAATTAAATCAAACTTATTACATTCCAGAATTATGTCTATTACAGCCAAATCTTAACTTTAAATTTAATAGATAATGCATCCGAATATCCGATTTTTAATGATAAATAAAAATCATAAAAACAATTTTATATTCAAATCAAAGTTTTAATATATAGAGACAAATTGTGTACGCATTTAATTACTTAAATTCTAGAATAGTTTTATAGCCAATTTCTGAGTTTAGCCGAAACTTTTATACAGGATTATTATAAAACACCCGCGGCGCCTCGCAGAACTAAATATCTAAAATAATAAACAACAAGGTTTGATTTACGAGTTTTAATATATTTTTTTAAATTTATCATTATACTGTCGTAATTTTTAGGATCTGTTTTATTCATAAATCGAATTCTGATCTGTTTGAATAGGGAATGTTACGTAAAGCTCGGCACCACTAGCACATGTAATAAAAACTGTTTCGTTAAAAAGGTCACTGAAACATATGCAATAATTAAATAGTTTTTTTTTAATTTTAAAATGTCGGTCGGAATTAGGTATAGTTATTCATGTACTTACACTGATTTCATACAGCGAAAGAATAAAGTGGATATGCCTCAAATCCCGAGATTAATTTTAAAGAGCAGAAAAAATCCCGTGATTTTTTAAATAAAAAGTTATTTACTTTTACACAATTTAAACTACTGCACGCACGACGTTGCCAAACTTACATCAATGACATCGGATGTTCAAAGATGTCCAAGATTGTCCATTAGAAATCACGGGAAGGTCCACATTAATATCAACATTTCGATGCAAGTACATAAATAACTCTACCTAATTCCGATCTCTGGTAATGAATTATCAACACTCTTATAATGATGTCACAGTTTACGACGTTAGCTATCTAACACTACAAGGATGTTATGACGGTGTTTAACCAATATCCCTGTATAATATTATAAATATATATTATACGAATTTAACAATATTGTTATTATTTTTTTATACAAACTTTTATTGGATTAATACAGGATTTATAATTACCCAATCGATAATATTTACATATTCGCATTTACTATAAAAAAAATACAAATATCATGCAGATCGTTTTAAAACCATAATAAGATAAAATATCAAGAGACAAAAAATATCCAAAAATAATAAGATATAAATATAATTCTACCAAATTTCCATAATATACTTTTATATAATTAATTTAGAGGCTGAGTATATAATATTTATTTCAATAAAAACACAACAATAATAAATCTACCAAAATTTATATTTACAACATACGAAATCGCTCTTTATGTCCGCGTGGCAAGATACAAAATAATTTAAAGCTATTCAAAAGTTTACAACTAGGATTTTTTTATTTACGCCAACGCTATATTATAAAAATATCGACATGCAGCGATTATAATTATATATAATAAAGGAAAAATGAGATGGTCTTTGTTTGAGCAAGCCGATTTGTATTAGATCAATGTCAGCTATTCAAAATGACCGAACGAGATTAAATCACCCATCCGATACATAATGGGCGAGATATTATTACGATAAGTATTCTAATATCTGTGATATTGATCAATGACTTCCTAAATATAACGGACGGAACATTAAGTCTACATTTTAGACTCCTTTTATTTACCACTTTAGCCACAAATTCATATATTATTCTTTGCATGTCTGTGTCTCGTATGCCGGTTACAAAGTGTCAGTATCTCATCAATACTACAATGAATAATCTCAAACAGGAAAAATACAAATCCGTTACATGTCGCAACATGTTAGTCTGATCTATTACTAAAATAGTGAAAACGCTATGTCTTATTTTAATACTTGTATAAGTCTGTTATATTTTTTATATAAATAGCCTTGTTATAGCCATTTGTCAATGTCATAGGCATGTGTTGTGTCATAGGCATGTGTCATGTCATAGACATGTGCCAAGTCATAGTCATATGTCACGCAATATGTGTTGTGTCCATATAAATTAGAAAGTCATTGATACTCTTTCCACTTTAAATTATAAAAAAATCAGTACCCTGAGCAGTAACACAATAATATAATTACATTGTAATTTATAAACCGTTACATTACAACTAATATAATATATGCTAAATTTAGCTAAATTACACAGTAAAAAGTTCCTGGAAACTTTGTTTCGTTAATTATTAGGCCGGTCATACTACTCGTTGATTCTGTTATTTGAATGTACAGTTGTCATAATTGACGATTATTATAAATTATATATATGTATGTACAATATTTATATTCACAGAGTGCTCCAGATCCATATTAAAATACTACTTAAATTATCCATTACAACATAATATATGGGCTTCGGTAATTCTCAATTAAAAAAAAAAGTTTATTTATACTCCGCTCAAGGAAATAGCGCCGTGTGATCGATTATTGGTTAAATGTGAACGCGTCTTTATACAAATAATGTTACGGTAAAATACAACCAATATAGTCATTTGTCAAATTTCACCTGTTGATAACTACCCTCAAAACATTGAAATTCAAAATTGAGTGAAGAAATTTGACAGATTTGTATAAACTGACATGCTGTTGACTGTATCAGCGCAGTACGATAAATTTCGAATCCCAGCAAATGTCGACCAATGAAATAAATCAATTAGCGCACCATTATTTGACCATCACAGAGTGTGACAGATAAGGAAACCTAGTGCGTTGTATTTTACACCTTATAATCATTGACAGAAGACCGATTATAAATTTTATACGTTCGGTCTCCACCACAAACGCAGACTCTCACCACGCCTTATTTTTGGGTTTTACTGTACGTATAATGCAACAAGGTCTTAAACCATCGGCCCCTGCTGCATCTGCAGTCGTTAATACACACCAATCCGCATCGGTCCCACTTTTTCCCAGAGGTTTTGTAATTCCGAATACAGAATTTTTTACCGAAGCTGACAATTATGTTAATACGGCGCTACACTTGACTGCAAGAAACTAAAATGCGACTCTTGTCAGTTTGGTCACCATTCTGATCTAATATCCTTCCTTCTATTTTTGGCTCATTTACATTAGCCGTTGCGAAGTGGTTCGCACAGGTCCGTGTCCGAGTATTTCATATTAATTTATTAGTTTATCTACCAATGAAAGGAGTCCATAGAAATTAATAGCACTCAACATGCATTGACGTGTCGACCAATGTAAATAACCAATAATAGCAGTCCAAAATAATAGACTTTAAATCTGTCGCAGTTAATTCTACATTGATAATTTATTCAATAACACAGTTATTTTATTATAAGACATTTAACAAGACGATGACATAAACTCGGTTATAGTTTGGTTTTCAAATAAAGATATAAATAACATTTATCGAGTGACTTAGATTAAAGACGATTAGCAAACTTGCCGTCATTGTGTCCTACAATCGAATTGAAATATGAAAATATAAAATTTATAATAGGCCATTACATTTAAAATTTAGAAAGCGCAATAGTGGTGGCAATTCTGTTGCACAAAATGGACTAAATTTAAATCCTGTCAGTGCGTTTTTAATTATGATACTACCTAAAAATTTAGCTTACTTTAGTCATGAGTGTGGTACAACAGTATTGGCACCAGTATCTAAATAAAAACAAACATCATAGATACAATATTTTTTCCGAGTTCGAATATATTTTAATTATCGTAATAATTTATCGAAATCTACTAAAACAGTAGTGATAACTACAAAATTCTAATTATATATAAAACGCAGGTACACGAAGAGTTCCCTCTCATTATTACAATTATGTAATTACATCTGACCTATCGTGATATGTTTTAATCAATAAAAAAGTTGACATATTATAAATAAAACTAAGTCTAAACCGTTTTATCGCGTATATTTTTAAAAATTATTACACTTTCAGACGTTCCGGATCTTTTATAGATTTCGTGTTTATTAGACTAAGATGTTGGTCTTCTTCTGATGATAAGAAGAATACAGCCACCATCAAACTATATTAAGTGAACATGGAATCTTTAAAGGATCCGAAAGTTCTTCAAAACGTAATATTTTTTTTTACAAGATTCGGCTGTATGGCTTAGTTCCTTTACCTGTCTCATGGACGAAACTACAACTACGTAATAATTTTTCAAAAATACACGTAATAAAACAATTTAGAAGTAGTTTTATTTAACCTAACTTATTTCTTTAAAAGCAACAAAAGCTGCCTCTATACATTACATCTAAAATATTTACAATACTATCCTGTAGATTTGAGATGCGATTTATAGAAAAAAAAGATGATACCGTAGATCGTTCGATATATTAAATAAGCCATAGATAACTTCAAGTTATCACGAAAATGTTTCCGCATACAATATTGAAATTAAACTTTAACACGTTAAGGTTTAAAATCAATTGAAGAAATCTGTCAGTTTTGTATAACTCGAGGTGTCGTCGATTGCAATATTTCGTATATGAATTTTGCAATGTACTCCCACTTATGATTTTTTTAAAGAATTTCTAAATAGGAATAGTGGTTATAATATTTCTATTCAAGTTTATGACTTTGAGCGATCAAACGTAAGAACGAAATTATCATCATATCGCATAGAGAATCGATTGAGATAAAAACTCTTTTATTACAGAAATGGAGGAAAATCTGATAAAGCCGTAGCAATAACTAGTGTTGTTAAATAGTCGATAATTGTGCTATCGAGTAGTCGATTTTGAAAATCAGCACAATATACTCGAAATATTATATCATCAATTTCGAACCTTAACTGATTTTCAAGACCAATAACTTTGACAGAACTATAGATAGAGTATTATCATAACGTAACAACACTTATGAGTTATCGAAACTATGACCGCTATAAACCAACTCTAAAGGAGAGCGCGTCGATCAAATCCCACAACCCGAAATCGGACTTCCTTCTATATCATAACCTCACCACGTCGTCATCCAGGCTGTCCACCTCGCAGCACGATGCTAATTCTTCAAACGTCATACCGTCCAGAGTCATGGACACGGAGGATATACTCTTGAATAGAGCTTCGGGGTCCAAGTCTTCGGGCAGTTTCGTTAGGAACTGGGCGGCAGCTATGAAATCCATATCTTTCAGTTCATCTTGATATAAGTGGAGGACACCTGAGAAAAAGCATTTATATCAAATTAAAATAAAACATCATTGCAGTGTAAGCTGTTGACGAGCATAGAGTCAATATCCAGACACTTATATACAGAGCAGAACCTGCAAAAACCTATGCAGTGCTCGTATTTCTCTTTGTTTCATATAGTCGTCGTACTGAAAAATTGCTACCAAGAGTGTACGCAAAGTACGCTTGTATGATTTTATTTATAACCGAAAATAGAACAAAACAGTGCATTGTTAGAGTGTACCCAGTGCATCGTTAAATTGTACCAAACGCATCGTCAGAGTGTACCTAAAGCATCCTCAGATTGTACCTAATGAATCGTTGGAGTGTACCCAATGCATCACTATAGTGTACCTAATGCATCGCTAGTGTATCTAGTGCATCGTCAGAGTGTACCTAGTGCATCGTCAGAGTGTACCTAATGCATCGTCAGAATGTACCTAATGCATCATCAGAGTGTACCTAATGCATCGTCAGAGTGTACTTAATGCATCATCAGAGTGTATTTAATGCATCGTCAGAGTGTGCCTAATGCATCGTCAGAGTGTGCCTAATGCATCACTATAGTGTACCTAATGCATCGCTAGTGTATCTAGTGCATCGTTAGAGTGTACCTAGTGCAGTGTTGAAGAGGAACGTGTCCCCGTCCCGCAGGAACACGTCCCACACGCGGCAGGCGGCGTCCAGCGGCATCGCCTTAGCGAACGCCGTGTACAGCCACTCCACCAGGTACAGCTCCGGGGCCACCGCGCCCGCCAACGACGGCAAGTTGTGCTGCAGCAACGTCGTATAAGCCTTCCACAAACGCTGAAAACATGTTAGACAGAATTAGTCCAGCTACCGAGATATTTATGGTCAGGTTTTTATGTCATAATATTATTAGAATGACGAATTGCATTACAAACTGTAATGCAATTCGTCATTACGAATTGTAACTTCATTTTGCCGAATGTTGTAAGATATACCTACATACTTATAACAGACATTCGGAATTCCTAATTTAGAAAGTCAGAATCAATTTTAATAGTCAGAATCAAGTATAACAACAATTAAAAAGTGACATTTCGCTGAAAGTTCACAAATACATTTTTAAAGATACAATGTAGATCGCTCGCTTTTTGTTTTGGTCGCAGTTGTAACCTAACCTAACCGATCTATAGGTTATACTTAACGAAATCATGCGAAATAATATGTTGTCAAAAAATCTGCTGCCTCAATAATATGACATTGCAATTTCCAACACTCAAACAAAAACATTCGGCCAATCTATAATATGCTTTATTGGCGAGTATTCGCCATGTAAATTTCCGGGAGGTTCTGGCGGAGAAAGGGAAACGAGTAGCGATATCAACCTGCATGGCTTGTCCGTCTCGTGCGAAGGCGGCCCTCAGCACTGGCCCGTCGAGCATGTTGGCGAAGCACACGAACGCACTGGGCGCCTCCATGTTCAGGATCAACACCGCCGCGATGAATGACATACCCTGACATAAACACGCTCGACATTAATTAACTGTTACTCTATAATTGCAATTTCAAATGGGTAGTTTTTTTTAGTAGTATGTTTTTTTATATAAGGTACAAAAATCAATTCTTGTTTGGTTTATTAAAATTTTATATTCACTCGATTTTAGTAAATTTAAGTTATTGGAGCATCTACCATTTATGATATATGATCATGATAGTTACATACTCTTCATTTCAAATCATAATCGTTTAATATCATAAGTACCCGCTGCAGATAAAGGTACAATTCATATCGACGCTTAATAACCAAGACTTAAGTTAATTTAAGCATCGTTTCCTTTAATTGATTACTTCAAATTTGCAATAAATAAGGAGTTATGAGAAAATACCAATACTACCTAAGTTACATGTCGTAATAATTGTATGGAAATACCACCTATCTACAGAGAACACGTAATTACTCATTTGAAAACTTAATAGAACTAAGAGTTTTTTGTTTGATTTAAGTCTTTCATTTATATTATTTCTAAATAGCTGCATAAACATACGCAAATATTTTAATTAATACCAGCTATCTATAGTAATTTTGAAACTAATGAAGATTTCTTGAAATACATGTAAACCCCTTATTTCCCTTGCCTATTTTTAAATTATAAGATATAAAAATATAAAAAAATTGCTATAGAAAAAATATGAAACGTTTTTTCGTCTCCTCTAAAATCGACTTTTTGTAGAAAGATGGTCTTGGTTCTTAAGAGTCGATATAGGGAGGCGTTTGCTGACTTTTCAGTAAAAAAATAGTCTTTTCAAAATTTGAAATTTTTTATAAAAACACATTCGTGTTGACTACTAACCTACCCAACCAGTGATATGAGATGCCTATAGATATAATCGCGAATTCCCATGGATCTTAATTAAGCTATTGAAAACCTTGTAACTTGTCATATATATATAATATGGAAATTGGATAAAACAAGGATTAGTGCTCACCTGTACATAGCCGATGTCAGGCCTGTAGCAGACATACGCCGCCAACAATTCATGGAGCACATCAAAATAAGGTCCACCCGGTTGAAATATACACAGATGCGGGAACGTCCTCGCAATATCCAACTGGATCAGCTCCATAGAACACTCGTCGCTGTACTCCAACAAGTTAGGGTTCGATTTCGAGCAACACTTCTTCACTGGCTCCGTCACTTGCGACTTTAGGTTCTGCTCGCTCAAGTTCCTCGGTATACTTAATCTGGGCTTCTCGCATTCGTCAGTTTTGACTTTTTTATCTGTCGTCTCTTGTGATTGCTTGCAGTCGCAGTCCTGATTGACCTTTAATCGTTTCCTTCTCATCTGAGCTTCGTGGAGCTTCCTCTTTGCTTTCGCTACTAGTTCCTGGTATATATCATGAGAGATTTTCAGTTTGTTTTCTATCGCCAGTTGCCACACTTTACCACGTATCGATGGCGGAAGACCGCTCCACCACAGCTCAAGAGTCCGCTTAGAATTCTTCCTGAAACCAAAAAATATGTACTTTAAATAAGAAGCGCAGTTTTTTGCAACTTGCACAAGGGCCGATCAAAGGATGCTTCTGTACTTCGAAAGAGATCGTTAACACCTACCAATGGGCATTGGACTCGCGTAGTGGGTCATAGCACATTGCCCTTACTAAGTTCTTTTAAAAATTTGCTTTAATATAGAGTAAATTATTCATAAAACTATAATCCGTTAACTCAATACATTCGCTATACTACACGCCAAGCTCTGTTCCATAAATAATGCGATTTAATTTTTTAATTAATTCAAGAATATTTAATAACAGTTATATTGATTTTATAATTGCAATTTCCATAAAATACAACTAGTATGAGCAATTTATCAGATGTGTTCATACATTATTTATCATAATTTTATGAGACAGCATAATTCATTGCTTATAAAATAGCGACGCATCGTAAAAACATTCAACTACAGTGCTATTCTGTTATAAAAACAGCCTTGAACTCGACGACGATGAAAAATTTATCAAATCTATTTAGACACCGCATATCAAGGCTCAGTCTAAGGAGTCTAAAGTGCGGCAGATTTGAGGTATTAGTAACTAATCATATTATAAATAAATATTTGACGATATCATATTTAAACTAGTTTATTACAGTAATTGATGTTCTAATCATTGGTTTCAATGTTATTAAAAAGTATAATAGTGTTTTGGGTCGATATTATTATAGTAACAGAGCATTCAGATCACAGAACAGAAAAAAAAAATAGAAGTAGCATGCCGGGTGTTTTGTATGTAAACCGTTGTAACCAAATTTACACAGTGAAAGATACTATAGCGTATGCACACATAAATTATTTCGTTCTGATTGGTCTTTGAAATTAATTTCAAAAGAGCATAGGACACAATTTAATTAAACATTTTTATTTTGAGTGTGTCTGATACAGTAACTGTAGTCTGAATTTGATGAAAAACCTTCAAACGAGGGATATTTTTTTTTATTAGCTTTCCAATATTATTTATTATGCATATATATCAATACGATTATTTGCCAACTCAAACCGCAGTAAATAAATGAATCAGTGATTATGGTCTCTTGCAGTTTAAAAAATACTACACTTTAAATAATTTTTTAAAATTAGTTTCTTGATTTTTGATAGAAATAAAACAATCAAAATCAATAATTAAATATAAAAACTGATGAATATAAAAATTGAAAAGAAAAACAGAAAGAAATAAATTAGTAGTTGGTAAAAAAGTAAAAATTTCTTATAGCCCTAATATGGGTATGTCATTGACGACTGAGCATACTACTGAAAACGGGAACGCCCACTTGCGCCTGTACTCTTTTCTTCTATTCTGTGCTTGATTACATATATCGTCTATGAAGAGTCAATAAATAATAACTGCAAAAATGCAACTTTTCAGGAGACAAAAGAAACGTTTCAAATCTATTTATATTGTTTTTTCAGTACATTGCAATTATTGTTTATCTTACAAATACATAAGAAACGAACCCAAAATCTTTGTCACTTTTGTGTAGTAATCTATTTTACAACGAATAATATATAAAATAATACAATAAAATAAAAATTTACAAAATATCAGTTATTATTTATTGACTCTTCATGAGCAATATATGATTATTACCTAGCAGATTCATAATGCAAAACTTATCTGATGTAACATAGTTCGCATGTTGGCCTTGCGAATAGATCTAAAATGATCTCATTACTTATGACCACGTAGGCGAACTCCCAGATAGCAGTTTGTTTCACATAAAAGAGTAACAGCCCTTCTCAAGACTTTTATTCACTACACCATACCTATACAAGACAAGACACGCTCTGGTGGCCTCGAATAACATTTACTGCATTCAAACGACGCGTATAAATTGTATCTCTTTATTATAATCATGTGAAAGTATGTATTGTTTACAGAGACACACCAAGCGTGCAGAGTTAGCATGTGGATTTTGATCTAATCTCTTACGGTCATTTTCCATAGAATGGTAAACCATGGTATAGTTTTTTTTTTATTTAATCTTGTTTTCCAAAGACTAAAATTAAGATTAACAATAGAATTATAAAACCAAAGTGGATTTCTAGGGGTTTAAAGGTTAGTTTAAAAGTCAAAAGACGGCTTCGATTTAAATATTATAAACATAAAACAAATGATAATAAACAGGCTTATACACGATACTCACGTATGCTCAAAAAATGCATATCAACAGCTCAAAAAAATTGTAATGACAAGTATCTTCAATGCAGTCAGAATGTTTGTAAAGCATCATGGAAACTTATTAGGCATGAAACAGAACCGGAAATCCCAAAATCTTACAGTACTGGTATAAAGCATAATGGTAATCTTATTCTTGATAGTAAGGAGATGGCTGAGATATTCAATGATTATTACGTTACTTTGGCTGGTGATAGTTACAAATATGATAGCGATAAAAAACAGCAGACACTGTACATTGTTGATCACAACTCTAAATCGATGTTTTTGGAGCCGGTAACGGAAGGGGAACTTCTCAACATTATACAGTCTTTGAATAACTCAAATTCTTGCGGATATGATGAAATATCAACGAAGGTTCTAAAATCCTGTAAATATGAGTTAACACATATTTTAACGTTTTTGATAAATTTATCATTCGAAACCGGGTGCTTCCCTGATGCTCTCAAATTCTCGATTGTTAAACCCATCTATAAAAAAAAAGATAAGCAAACTGTGGAGAGCTATCGCCCGGTTACATTAATACCTGTAATATCAAAAATATTCGAGAAGGCTATGAAAAAAGATTAGTGAGTTTTTATTCGAAGTTCAACTTAATAACATCAGAACAATATGGCTTTCAGAAAGGAAAATCAACTTCTCTTGCGTGCTTTAATTTAGTCAAAAATGTTATCTCGTCTCTAGATAAAAAAGAGTGTACTACAGTGCTGTTTTTCGATATGTCCAAGGCATTCGATTTTGTAGTGCATGATGTATTATTGGACAAGCTGGAAAAGTATGGAATCCGTGGAAACTGTCTGTCGTGGTTGAAAACATATCTGAATGATAGGTGTCAATGCGTGGAAGTTAATAGAGTAAGACAGGTGAACGATGAATATGTGGCTGTAGCAGATCGATCAAATTATAAAATTAATAAATTCGGAGTACCACAGGGGAGCGTACTGGGACCGATATTGTTTTTGTTTTATGTCAATGACTTGCCAAAAGTGACTAAGAACCAATGTTTTATGTTTGCTGATGATATTTCTATTATTATTAAATCTAATCCTTTTGACGACTTAGAGTATTATGAAAATGACATTAATGAAACAATCAATAATATAATTCAATATCTTAATGCCCATAATTTGAATGTTAATTTATGTAAAACTAATTATGTTAATTTTAAGATAAAAGGACGCTTAGCTTATAATCTCAATGTGAAGCATGACGACAGAATCATTGAAAGATCGGACAGTGTGACATTTTTGGGAATATTATTAAATGAAAACCTGAACTTCACTACCCATGTTCAGAGGGTCTGTAATAAAATAAATAGGTACGTTTATGTGCTAAGACGGTTAACTTTAAAAGTGTCTCTTAAGGTGGCATTGTCTGCTTATTATGGTTATGTCGCATCAAATATATCTTATGGACTCCTTCTGTGGGGCAATAGTACAGATGCAAATAAAGTGTTTATTTCCCAAAAGAAATGCATAAGAGCTATATGTGGTAAAGGTCCATTTGATACATGTAAACCACTGTTTCAAAAATTGGGTGTATTAACCCTGCCCAGTATGTACATTTTAGAAATTTTTAAATTTGTAAAGCAACACCCCGATTTATTTAAAAGAGCCAAAGACATGTACCCTAGAAACACTAGAGATAGTGACAGACTTGTTTTGGAATACAGACCAAAGACTTCATTAAGTCAAAAAAGTTGTTATTGCATGTGCGTCAAGGTTTATAATAAGATTCCTGAACAATATAAGAATGGATCTGAGAGCTTAATGACAAAAAGACTGCGAGAATGGCTCGTGAAAAAATGTTATTATAATATAAACACATTCCTTAAAACAGATAATTTTGCTTGTTAATTATTATTAACTGAATAGCGATAGTAATAGTTTTTAAGATCTTGTAATACCTATTCTTAGCAAATAAATACTTTGACTTTGACTTTGAATACGCTGCTGCTACTGCTATTAGTTCAAAAAATGTTTCTAACTTAGTGATGAATTGAAGTCACATTAAACTTGGCTTGGCAGAAATATATAGAAAACTAGCTTTTGCCCGCGACTTCGTCCGCGTGGTAGTTAATTTGAGCAGCATTTCTAACGAATATTTATTCATTATATCGTGTAAAATACCTGAACAAAGTCTTATCCTCTTAGCTTATGCCCTTAGAGGTGGAATTTATCAAAATCCTTTCTTAGGGGATGCTTACATCATAGTAGCATTATGCATGCAAAGTCTCAGCCCTTAAAATTGTCAAAGTTTCATACAAACTTTCATCCCCTATTTTATCCTCTTGGGGGTGGAATCAATCAAAATCCTTTTTTGGAAAATGCCTACATCATAACATCTACCTGCATGCCAAATTTCAGCCCGATCCGTCCAGTGGTTTGGGCTGTGCGTTGATAGATCACTATGTCAGTCCTTTGAGTTATATATATTTAGATTATTTTCCCGTGGGAATGCGACATTTTCCCGCGGTAAAAAGTAGCGTATGTCCTTTTTGGGTATTAAAATATCTCCATACCAAATTTCATGCAAATTGGTTCAGTGGTTTAGGCGTAATTAAGTAATAGACAGACAGAGTTACTTTCGCATTTATAATATTAATAATATAGAAATTATAATATTAATATAGATTAGATTATGTATACCCTATTCCACCTCAAAGTAGCAGCAGTCAATTACAACTACACATCTGTATCCAACAAATATCTTTGAAAGTAATATAATCAAATTTAATAAGCATATACTTCACAATCTGTTGTCATTTTATTTCAGAAGGATATTCTCCTTAGAGACTGAAATATTAATGGTACTAAGAATTCTCGAAAGAATTTAATAAAATAAATTTATTAACATACTAGCTGACCCGACAGACTTCGTCCTGTCAAAAAGATTTGTAATGTGGCAGTTTTTTTGCCTACGTATTTAAAAAAATTCTCCTGAACAGAACCGTCACCCTGGTGATAGGGCGTTGTGAATAAAAAATCCTATTAATATTATAAAGGCGAAAGTTTGTAAGTATGGATGTATGGATGTTTGTTACTCTTTCACGAAAAAACTACTGGACGGATTTGGATAAAACTTTACAGCAATATAGGTTATACATCAGAATAACACATAGGGTACTTTTTACTGGGAAAACTTCTCACTCCCACGGGATACCGACTTCCACGCGGACGAAGTCGCGGGCGTCCACTAGTAATTAAATAAAACATATATAAGGATTTAAAAGTAAGTAATCGCTTTATTGTTAATCATGTGAATCATAATTATTATTGCAATGTATTAATAGTAATAGTATTAAATATAGAAAAAAAGAGATTTTTATGATCATAAAAACACATTACACACTGTTGTGTGCATTATAAAAGTAAACTATTCGAATTAAAAAAATATATAAACATTCTCAAGGAAAAATGCTGGAAGAATCCATCTACCTGTACCCCGGAATGGGACTCGAACCCATTCGCGATCCAGGGACTGCTCTAACCAATGAGCTATCTAGGACCCAACAGCTTTGCTACTACAGAGCGTATTTTCATCAATGTTCCGGCAATACATGTAATGACGTGGAAACTGATGCATTTTATCTCGCGTGCTGAAACTAATACAAAAGAAACGCGAGTTTCGGAACGCGACATTAAACTCCTCCAACTATGTATTCTGTGCTCCAACGCACACACGCACATTGTTTTGATAGATATGATCTTTGACGTTAGGAACACACCTACATTGCTTAGACAACAGTGAGTGCTTGTAATTTAATATGAACTTTATACCATAGCAATAAAGCTCAAATTGACTACGTTTTAGTTACAAATCATTTGTATGGGAAAAAGAAAAGGGCTATTTTTAGGGTCTTTCCAGCAATAATTCTAATTTTTCTCGCCGTAAAAACCATCCTTGAACTTCAACGAACATTTTAAAAAAAGATTTGGCCAAATTGGTCGAGGCGTTGTTGAGTTATGCGCTTACCAACACATTTTGCGATTCATTTTTATATATATAGATTAAAAAGCCGCTCATTTAATCACAAGAATAGCTCTTGTAGTGAATATATTTAATAAAAAAGACAGATGATTTATATTTTATGCTTTTTATTTATTAAATGCATATTTGAAAAATTTCAAGAACTACGGGTACACATATCGTTACAATTATAGACCCATACCACAGACAATACATCAGCATGCGGTGCACGCATAGTCTCACTCCTCAATTCGTCCCTGGTAGTTATCGCTTATCAATAATATCTGCACACTTTTCTGTCAGTTATAATGTAGGATTTTACCCAAGCATCTGGGTAGGTATTTCTTTCAAATCTCTCGAGTCTCATGCGCATTCGTAGTACTAATTTCTAAAAGAAATTGAAGATACTTTAATTATGTGCACGCTTACATGTTCTGCCAATCGGGTAAGATGGTCTGTGTCCATTCGCGGGCGTGTCTCGCGAGCCGTTCCTCCTGCCTTATAGACTCTTGCAGCCTGGCGTGTCTCGCTGCCACCTCGCGCTCCACACGCCTCCTAGCCGCTTCCACCATCCGTGCGTGCTCCGCTTTATGGCGTAAGGCCTCTTCAGTGCACTTCGCTGGCAAGTTTGACGGTCTGAAACAAAAAAAAACAAAGAAATTTATTAATACTCTTTGTAATATATAAAGTAAGCATTTTCTTGCACGTTAGGTAAGATAATTAAGTTTGCATTTTTGGTTAACACTATAGTGGACTCTCTCTCTTTCTCTCTCTTGCTTTAATCAAACGATATTAGACATAAACGAATGTTTTACTCATCAGTATAATGGCTACACAGTACAATTTAACACTTCATCGCTATCTATATTTTTATGAATGCTTAATAAATCGGATATAGAATTTAACATAAGCAAATGTAATTATAACCATGGCATTAGTATAATGGTTAATTTTGTACATTGTAGTTTGATGTCACATCAAATCTGAAATAAGAATCATATAAGTTTATCATCTGCGTATACATACGCCAATGACCGTCACAAATATAACACGCAGTTCTTGACAAAACATAAACTCGTTTCGTGTGAGAAGTTTAGTCATACAATTAAACACCTAAGTTTTGCCGTCCCCATTTTTATGACCCTACCTGTTTCGCTGGTCATTCGTATCAATAAAACAATAATACTTACAATTATTCGACACGGTACTTTGTGATAATAATATCATACATGATTGTAAAATATACTAATCTAAACAATATTACAACATTATTTGTCAAAACGCCGACCCATTTTAAACTAAGAAGAACCTTTAGCTAACATTTGATTAATTCATCAACTTTAGCTGTGAATCTAACCGTTTAATGAGTGAAGAATTGTTTAATCCATTTGTATTCAGTGAAGTGATATCGTTAGGAATAATGGGTTAGTTTGATCGCAACACTTTCGAAAATTAAATATTGACGTGATAATCGTCTCGTGAAAAAAAGATATAATTGATGTCAGAATCCGACTGTACAGACTATACTAAATCTATAGTAAAGATTGTAATTGAAAACCAATCATTGTTTTAATCGAACATGTTTCCCGAAGCTCAAGTATAAAACCCATTGAATAACGTCACGACTTGCGTGCGATAAATTAATGCATTCTCTATACACCTTTTGTTTGAACACGAGCATTGAAAAATGGGAATACTCGCAATTGAAATGTCTCAGAAGCGAACTAGAAGCGTATCGGCAAGTGGTCCCATTATCAGGTTCTGCTTACGAACAGTTACTCGGCACAAGCCCTGAGCGGTCACGAGAAAATTGCTCCGCCGATGGGCTGTTCTCAGTCATTAGGTAGTTATTTCCGCTCCCGAGAGAAACGGCTATAATACTGGTCCATTTATACGTCAATAATGAAAGAAGGTTCTTCTACATCTATAATAAATTCACGGACCAACTTCAGATAAATAATCTGAATGTCCTATCGGAAATCTTCACGCTAAATCTCTTGCAGGATATGCATCTCTGACAAGACAAGTGATAACAACTTTCGAGAACTTGGTCATTATCTCCATTTGTAAGAAAATAGAAGTCTCAACAACAAAATTTAAATGAATAAACGTATTTTCATAGGATGAACGACAAGTTTATTACTGTTAATTGAGAGAAAGTAAATAAATAAGAACGAATGCTGACAAAACTACAAAGAAAATGTATCCAAAATATGAATTCTTAAATACGTAACTGAGTACCAGGGATGGATTATTTAAGCAATTTTTATTAAGAAGTTAGCTGAAAATTAGTCGATTGTCGTGTTTGCGTTGTAATAAGTACTTTTTTTCCAAAAAATCTTTAATTTTTACCACTATATTCCAAAGCAGTACATGCTCAAATAAAACAAATGATTGAAATTCATAAAAGTAAAATCTATTATCCTCCTTCAAATCAAACCAAAATTAAATAATTAACTATTAAAATTCACACGCATGAAGTTCAACACGTAACGAGCATTAATCAGCTTCATCGCACAAAACACGCACGAACGATACTATACTTTAATGCCGGTCAATTTTATACACCTTCAAGAATCTTCTTTCGATTCGGTTATGGATTTCAACTGTCACAAATAAAACTTGTATTTCTCGTACGTTATCTTCATCTACCAATCATATCAATTGATTGACACTGAAGAGTTTGGTAACTCCTTTTGATTCCATCTTTGACATTGTCACCGCCCACATCTTATATTACTAACAATATTTGGGGACGAGCAACTAAATATAGTTTAATGAACTGAATCTTTAAGTCGTTGAACTTAAAAGTAGAGATAAGTAACTGTTCCACGTGTAATAATACCAACTTTAATGAATCATACATAAAAGCTGAATTCAAGTAGCACATAGAAATATGACATAGAAGAAGAGGTTTCTTAGAATATATTTTGATGAATGCTAAAGATAAGGTTTTCATAGAGGTGAATCGAAATAAGAATCTACGAAAGTTGCTCTATACATTTATATACCTACCACGACTTTAGATTATTCTCATATGATTTATAGATAAGATTGATTGAAGATATATTAAATAAAAGAATCTATGATATTACATAAAAACAAGTATACACTTTGTAGTCTCATCAATTTCCAATATTGGCAAGGTGTAAAGACAACATTTCCCACCTGCAACATCAGCATATCAAACTAATTTGCATATATTAAAGAAACAGGACTACTGACACTAATTAGAATATAGGATTTAAAGAACCTGACGAGGTAAAGAACTTTTCCGACGTTAAATATATAACAACCGTAAAAACAATCGTTTGATCAATTCTTTACCAATTAACGTATGTTTATTTTGATCAAAATTTAAGTTATAATTCTATTGGTAACACATTCATTAGCGTTAACTAATATACTATGATATTGGAACTTTAACTCAATCAAATTTCAAAATACTTAGATCACAGTCCCAATTACCCAAGACCACCTATCGAATTCCGCTTCGCCTGGTGAAATTTCAACATCAGAACTAATCATGCGACCGCAGACACAAAGATGACAACATGTAAAAGTGAAAATTATTGAAATGTCTAAAACCATCAATTATAATAAATCCACTTGCAACATTATAAAACAATATGAAGAATAATTTCCCTACTTCCTATGTGTTTTGAACTGTGACGAATATTTGGAGAGCGTGACAACCCACGAATAGCAAACCGTCTACAACTATCGGCCACACACAATACTACTACTGCAGAAACCATAGGAAGTTGATTGAAGTGACATCAAAATGAAAACTAAAAATGAATATTTCATATCACGTCACGCTTTAATAGAACCTTTATTCAGTAAAAGAATTGCAAAAACTTACTGCGGAATGATGATTCAAATAATAAATTCGAATATACCAATATATACAATCATTTATGAAAATCTGATAGCAAATTATCTACTTATTACAATGATATAAATAATGGAACAGATGTTAACGTGATAACACGGTTAATATCTTAAGACATCGTCGGCAAGCTCCGATTTTGATGCTAAGAAAACTTAATACGAGTACATAGGTATACTAACGATGACCAAAAAGACGTCGTGGAACTAGTTATAGGAGATTGTACAATTTCGGCACCAAATCTCAGGAATAGGGATGATGACTGGGTAAAAAAAATGCAATTCTATTTAGTCCGTCAGTCAGATAATAGAAAAATATTAGATACGTATTTTTTTTTTACTTCAAATTAACAAGAAATAGCTTAGATAACAGGCTTTAAGTTGAGGAGTGGGGGCTCGCTACGTCACAGTTGAGTAGAAAACGTACTCTAACGTGACGTCATGCGAAATTTCAACTCAATGTAACGCCGTAATTTTATGGTTACGAAAAAAATAAAAAAATACGTGTTTAATATTTTTTAACACTCTACCTGACGGACTAACAAACAAAAAATAGTCATCATCCCTATTGTGGGGAGATTAATAAAAATCCACATTTGCAAAACGAGGGACATTTAATTTAAATTTAATATTACAAAATGACAAAAAATACTGTCGCGATGTAATTCACTATAACACTATCTAAAATTTAAAATTAAAATTACTGATAACCATTTTCTCTAACCTTAACTTAACTAGAAATTACTTAATATTAAGAATAGCTTATGCAGATTTGTCTTTTCACCAAACCTGTAACGTTAGGTAATTGCTTACTAAGCATTTGCTTAGGTAGACAAAGTTCGTCTATAATTGTGCATGCTTCAGTTCGTTTTGTTTTTAATGTATGGCCTATTTGTGTTACCAGGAAAAATAATACGTACGTGGTGTTATATCTACATGAGCACCCGAGTCGTCAATGTCAATGTACATACGTACAAAGTCAGAAAATTCAAACAATCTCTTTGTTCATATATAATATGTTTTCTAATATAAGTATAAACTCCTTGACTCCAACTTCTTACTTCTTCTTCATCTTTTATTAATAGCTTGTCTGCAAATTACGCACAATTCTGCCAATGTCAAGGGAATAAATTAATATCTACATGTAAAATGAAAATGAAATAAACGATAGATGGCGATGATTCTTATTATCCCTTGGTGTCAAATCCATTATGACCAAAGAGTAAATATATAATATATACATTACGCAAATACCCAGCGCTAGGCGCCACACAGTGCCTTTCCTAACTTTAAGCGTTATCCAAAGTTAGGTGGCACCTTGTCATCGGTGAAACTCATTTCCATCTTAGACAATGCCCATATATTTAGGCGTCAGAATTGGGCCGCCCCAAAGTTCAGTGAAAACGGGCATTAATATCAAAAATACCTTTGTCATTCATCAACCATTACTACTCGATCTAGATTTTCGAAATACAAATAAATAAACTGTAGCAAACAACAAAAAATATAGAATGAGATAATTAACAAAAATTATTAGGAATTACCATTTCCTACAAGTTGACCCACCAAGCTGTTGCTCCAATGACCTATCTGATGTCGGTCAAGCGGACTACACCCATCGACCTCATGAACTGTCACCGGACGGAAACTTTATTTATAACCCGAACGACGAACCCTATAACACCAATAGCCGTTCGGCATAGCTCGACGAACCAACACGAATTCAATACTTACATTAGACAATATTGATTTCCTATATTTTCACTCGCACTATCCATAAATGAAACGATTTTTAAACGGTTTCATCGCGTTTGTATTTAGTTTTAGACGTTTCGGACGTTTTTCTTAACAGGTTCCGTGTTCATATAAGACTGAGGTATTGACTGTGTCTTTTTTAATTAAAAAAGATAGCTACCTTCGAAAAAAAACAATACTATTGGACACATTCACAATACAATTTGCCCTCCAATCCGCATTGGGCCAGCGTGGAGGGTCATGGCCCATCCTCCTTAACCATCCATAAGAAAGGCCTGAGACCCTGTAGTGGGGACGTAAAAGGGCTGATGATGATGATGAACAATACAATAATTGTATATATTATGGCAAGGTTTACATTTAATAAACTATTTAAAAAATACATTTGATTACCATAATCTACCACCAGTACCAATTTTGGGAGTCTTGTCTCAGAAGAACTGGCGAAACAAACTCCGACAAGAAAAAGTGAATTGCCCCCTTTAATTTAATAGTATCTTTTGGTTTTGCAATGTGTGATCTGGGTTGCAATTTTATTTAACTAATTATTGAATCCCAAGCCGGTGTTATATGCCAACCTTCATCTCTTAAACGTATAAGAGCAGCAAGGCCAGAAGGCATCTTCACTCCCAACGCCATCTTGTTATAAGAGAGCGAATAATAAAAAAAAATCTGATCAAAAGATAAAAAAAAAGAAATATCCTTTTGCTCTATGCAGAGGCCATCAAATTTCTATGTTTTATAGCCCAATATTGTCACATTGCACACGGTCACACAAAATTAATTTTGCTACAAGTGTTACAAAATATCTATAATTATGGCTGGGAGTAAAGACTGTCCATAATATGATGAAATGAACGGAATAAAGCGAATTACGTATAAAAACTATTATTAATAACTCTCACCATTATTGTAAAAGTGTTGCATACAATGTCTGCTAAAAAGCGACTCGTATTATTATCTATATATTACATATAAAATGATAAAGTTTAGTAGACAACCACTTGATTTTTTCTATACTCAGAGAATATAAATTTACTAAGAAATATGATGTAGCTTTCTTATTTTACAACTGAATTTTTGGAACAAAATCAATTAAATTTTCGTCTTTGGAGTGTGCACTCTCTTAATCTGAACACATGACAATTGATCGATTGAAGCCAACAAAAGCTGATTTAAAGTCTCTTGAAGGCGAGACAAACCTATAAATACAATCAGATATCAAACAACTTTAGGAAGGAGATTAAATGAGTCTACATAGGGGCGATAAACTGTGGAGGCTTTTAGACTTTAATAAGTTAATCATTCCAATCAACTGAGACATACAACTCTTAACTGTTGTAACGAGAACTAAATTGTTTAATAAGTGCATTCACACGTTTGATTCTGTGAATTAAATTTTGCTAGGAAGTGAAATATTAAAAAAAATAACAAACCACGGAAGAGGAACAGGAACCCACATAAAAGAGAGAAACATAAATAATGTAAATGATGCACAAACAAAAGAGCTCGTGTACTTTTTTATAGCGCATGATGCATGCACAGTAGGGTAAGGATGCCGAATATGAGATAGTCGCCAAATATGAGATAGTTAGGTTTTGGCGAAACTAATAGCCGCAGCCATTTGGTGCTACTGTCGCTAGAAGCCACGTGGCAAAAGATCAAAACGTGTGTTAGCGCTTCCCAGTCCAAGGCGAAGTTAGGTTGTGTACACGTGGGTTTTCACGATACCCCAAAACCAAATTTTTCTCATCAAATATTTACAAGGTATACTACAGCTGTATTAATTACACTGAATGATTTTAATTTACCATCATTCTATCAATTATATCATGAATTTTATGATACATATGCAGTTTTATTACATTTTCTTTACTGAGAAATAATGTGCAGCCATTTTATTGAATGTAGATGTTTTCCTAATATGAGACATGCGAGTGCTCCTAAAATGAGATATCTCGTATTAGGGTATATAAAAATATGACTATTTGAAAAATCCTTTTTACTAGATGGGGCCAATCAAAAGGAAATCCTGAGACCATGGATCGTGGAGAAGTAACCACAGATCGATTTTTCTGTTAGTGTTTAAATATCTAAGATTTAGAATAAAAGTTTTGAATTTGTTGATTACTAATATTGTTTAATAAGTATGATTTGAAAATCTCTGTGATTATGATGAGTCTGACATAAATCATATCTAAGATTTAGCATAATACTTTTGTTTTTGATACTGTTTAATAAGTGCCATTTTAAAATCACTGATAATGATAAATTTAATATAAATTATAACTATGTACGTTACATACATATATTAAGTCGTACTCAGACCTATTTGTTTAGGAGTATGATGTTGTTAATTAGAGAATATAGCCAATAAAAAGTTTAATTCAAATTAATTTCTTTCCTTTTTCTCCAAATCTATACTCAAACCCTAAAGAACCTAATATGAGATACTGTCTCATATTAGCAAACCTCAGTATCTCATAATAGGAGACCATTTGCCTGAGACGTAATTTCTGAACTTCTTAATATTTTTTGATATAATAAAAAATCTATTATACTCAGAACTAAACGGTCTCTCATAAATAAACTTCATTAAATACCCTATCAAATATTGCAATTTTCATAATGATTAGTGCAATAATTTATGTTTTATATCCAAAAATAAAAATGGTATCTCATATTCGGCATCCTTACCCTATTTATGGTACATATAGAACCACCTATTATTAACATTGTTTTTAAATTAAATTTTAATTGCTTTAAACTAATAAATGGATGCGGAAGGCGCAGGACCGATCACGTTGGAGATCATTGGGGGAGGCCTATGCCCAGCAGTGGGCGTCTCTCGGTTGATATGAAACCAATAAAACAAAAGGGACATATTCTTTCAAAAACCAAAATTTCGAAATTTGTTGATGTGGCGCTTATTTTATGGTAGGTAGTTTGTAATTATATTAGAAAGGTGAAGTTAGTTTGGCCGTTTAACATTTTTTTACCCTAAGAGCAGGTTAGGACCCTAATCATGTGCTCATTGATTGAACTAAGGAGATACTATTAATGAACTAACATGGATTTGAACAATACTTCTAACGCTTTTAGTAGCCTCAATGTTTTTATTAAAAAAAATCTTACCTATCATGCTGTATTAACGCTATGGAACTAGCAACGAGGTCCTCGAATTGCTTTTCACTAGCGGAGCTGCCCTGTCTCTTGTGATGGTGCGGCGTGTTCGAAGCTGAGGAGACGGGTGTCAGAGATATTTGCGCCTCCGAATTAAGAGTCTTCGCGGATAAGTTCTGCGAGGATTTGCTGCCGAACAGTCTCCAAGTGGATGACTGACTCTCCTGACTCTTGGAATTGCTCTTCCAGGGAAATACGCCTCTGTAACAAACAGAAACGGAACATGTACAAAATTTGTAAATGTGTTTAACATAGCATATATATACAAGAATTTTCCAAGTTAGATACTTGTTTTGATAATTTACTTTCCACCGACTCAGTTGATTTATTTGCTTGAACTATGATTAATTAAGGTACGAAATAAAGACAATCATATTTTTCTAATGTTTTTTTATATGTATACAAAATATCTTACACACTACGAAGTCTGAATAACGTCATTCCCTTAGAATGGACATAAGGTGTATATCAAAACGTGGATATATACTTGGCAGATCATTACCAGTACAGTATTTGGTTAGAATAACATTTTCGTTTTAACGAAATGCAATATTTCCTTTATTGAGGTATAAAATTGATACCCACATCATTACTATAGCCATTTCCGACAAACGCTTGCACGATTAAGGTATGAAGCAAATTCCTTTAATTGTTAAAAAAAATTGGCAACAAACGCGAATTGCCATTAATACGCAACTGGTGCGAATCGTTCGCAATATGCCGAATAGATTAGAAACCTCGTGGCACACTATTGTAGCGTTAATCACGCGTACGATAAACTTGGCCAATGTGGACCTGTAATACAGTTCTTTGTTTGGTCACAATTATTGAGATCATTATAAAATTGATATATTAGATAAGATGTCCTACATAAGGTAAATATACAGTTCGTTAGAAGCTATACGAATATCTCAAGGTTATATATCAATGATAATTCCCAATGAACTCATCTACATCATATAATACTATAAAAATGTAGGGGTAAATGTGTTGCTAAGTATGCAATTCGATAACGGCTAACCCATTTATTATATTCATTAAAGTCAACGAAGATTCTTATAAACATAGAAGATAAAAACATTAAGGGGAATGTTTTTCTTTTCCTATAAAAACAACGTGATACTACATTCTTGGAACATTGGAACATTTACAAACACTAAAACGTTTGTCCAAAAAAAAGACAAAGCTTATTATTTAAAAGCAAACATCCTAGCGGGAAAAATATATTTGTCAAACAAAAAAGTCTAAGCACACAGAGAGACGCGGCAGTTTCTCATATGTCGATGTCGCTGTTACTCGGCACAGCATTGTGTGATAATGCCAATGCAGAAGTAAACTTGTGGGAAGCGAATGACAAATCGGTACAGTTCACGAGTTTTTGCTAAACTTCAACAGTCGTTATTGTTTCGCAATTTCAATAGACAATACAATTCTAAACGGCCAAGCGTTTCCAGCAGTTTGGTAAAAAAATTGTTCCTATTTCAGTGGCGATGTAAGAAAAGCCTATTTCAGAGGCAGAAATTTTCCGAATATCTTTAGATGTAAAAAAACTGGTCCTTTGAATGATAACAAACTACCAAAAGCTAAAGCAGTGAGTAATTGTAAAATAGGAACCACTATAACAAGACATCATAACTTTTCAATTGTTGCCAAACTAACTGAATCGGTTACAAATGTATGCAAATAATGAAACTGACCCGATCTCTGAACTGAAGAACAAAAGTTATAACAAAGAGACAGCTAACTGCACCGGTGGGGTGCATTAGGAAAACCCCGAAGTGGCATCACGTACTAGAACAATGTTAACTGTGTTTGTGGAGTCGACGCCATTTGCATAAACGAATACGACATTTAATACCACTTATTTTGTTCTTACAAGCCGCCCACTTGATAAATTAGAACAACTGTATAAAAGCTTTACGTATACTTAACATAACAAAAACTGTATCGTAAATAAAGACACAGTTAAAGATTATATGGAAAAGGAATACAGAATGATGACATATTTTCTTCAATAGTGCATTTGAAATACATTCAGTTAATACAAAAATATTATGCGTGCCTTTGACAGTTTTAGACATTACGTTTTCATCGTTTAAATTTGATAGGCAAATTTTGACAATTTGTATAAAGTACAAAATATATATTATGAGCAATACTATAAAGAGTAACCTTAATGCTGTATGCAAGAGCATCATGGTATGTAAAATGGAAAGTAATGAATAATATTCTATAAAATCACACAAAAAAAATCCAAATACAATCTATCGAGTGAATTGATTAAACCGATATGAACAAATGAATAAGATAAAACGCATATATGTACTTATAACGGGAAATGTGAACGATGTTAAAACTACAAAAATAATAAATATTCTTTTAAGTATTACCAAACAGTGTTTAGCACGTATCGTGTATCGAAAACGATCAATATGAAATCTTTGGTAATACAAAAAAAAACTACATCCGAACATAATTTTAACGCACGAAGCGTATTGAGAACGTATACAAACGTCCTTCTAGATATTTGCGTCGTGTCCATACGTCAGAATAAAATTATACAACGTTGGAAAAAGTTCAATTGAATGAAATAACTTTAAAAATTACCAAAGATTTAGTCTTGTTCGTTACAGATGTAAAGTTTGACTAATTGCTTACTCAAAGATCGTTTGTGTTAACATTTTTTTCCTCTTACGAATACAGACAAATATTTAGATCAAAATCTTCATATATATTTTTTATTTATTTAAAGTTAACATATATTTCAGTTTTTTCCATTCAATATTAACGGGTTAATCTAGTTATTTAAAACTATTTACTTTTAAGTCATAAAATATTTTTGAATTTCTTTATTCTTCCCTACAATGAACTGTAAGGCAGGATATTTTTAACCATGACAAATTGGCACAAAGACGGCCTGTTTTGATACAAATAAGCTTATTGTACTCTTTATTTTCTATAATTTTGCTTTGTCAACTTTGAAGACTGTAATATTATAAAATGGACTAATCTAATCACAAACAGAATAAAAATTCCTCGATATAATACTGACGTCTACAAAACCAATGGCGCTTCCAAAACAACTGACTTTCTATCTTTTTAGGTAATTCTTAATTTACTTCTCTTATCTGCTGCTATCAGTATAATGTGCTGCTGTGGAACTAGTGCAGTTATGCACATTTTTAACCGATATCAAAGAAGGGACCGTCGAAATAAATAAACCTTGATATAACAAAATTGTAATGAAATTACGAATTAAAATTTCGACTAATTAATACTGTCAAAAAAAGTAAACAATGAAAAGACAACCAATCAATTAACAGTGTATTGTGTGTATTGATTATCATTCCTAATATAACGAGTTACGAGCCTCAAAACGGCATCGGTACTATTATAATTAGCACCTGTTGTATGCAGCTCAAGATTTACAAATATAGTTTCGAGAATCAAAGCAATAATAAAAACGTCTTGAGAGAACGTGCGGTGCCTCGCGGCGCATGGCACGCGGTGGTACGCTGCGCTTGCGCACCTATTATCGCTATCAACACGACCCACAGGTGACTGTAAAGCTGCTTATACAATTCCATCACACGCGGATTATAAAACTTAGAATCAGTGATATAATGCCAATTTCAGACAAAGCTACGAACATAATTGTTCTCTTATTAGAATAACAAATATATGTATAGACTGAACAAATAAGAAAAGTTAATTTAATAAATATATTTTAGCGTTCATATCTTAAGTGCATAGTCCAACAATTAAATATAATGTTATCACAATGACGTGTAAGAGTGTTTGCACGAATAACACAATGCATGACGTCAACCTAATGCTGATATAATTGTGACGGAAACTTTAAAATAGCATGTATTAATAGTAATCTTAAACTAAAATGAAGATTCATATAACCACAACAATTCAATTTTCAATTAAACAGTAGCGATAGTCAGGAACTTCCCATTAACTATAATAATAAGAATACATCTACTGAATCATAGCGTTCGTCGAGGTCTTTAAAGACTCCAAATGAAAGTGACCATCAATTAGTTGTCACGCAATACTTCAACGACGCTTCGGTCCAACTAACCCTAAAGCAACAGAACCTGTTCTCACGATGCACAAAGGTTTTCATACGTAAGCGACTGTGATTGTGTAACTCACTGTATCGTATCTAATTGCCAACCCGATATTAATTCATCAAACGCGTTACCGATTCTGACCATTCGTTGTGGAAGTACATATAAACTATAACGTTACACATACGATTGTTATGTCAGGAAATACTCTGGTACCAGGAAACAAAAATATCACTATTCAAATATAAAGAACAATAAACAGAAACGACACATCTTTGAGAAGTTATTCAAATTAAGGTCTAATATTTTTTTATTAAATTGCAAGTTTTATTTACCTACTCAACACTACCGAAAAGGTCTGTCATCTTATGAAGGAACTGGATTCTGAGATAGAAGTTTCATGAATTCAGAAGCTATGGTTTCATTAATATGTTGTATGGTAAATGTTGTAACAAAACTTATAATTCTCATAAAGATAAGACACAACTGTAATAAAATAAAATCCAAACTATTGACAATATTAAGAACTAAGGATCTTACGACAGATGAAAAGCAGAAATAATCAGATTACGAACAATTTATTAAAAGCAATAATAAACACATGTACACCACAGTTAAATTCAATGTTTAACACATAACACTGTTTATTCTATGAAACAAATATGTAACCAGTCATTAACTGACGTGTCATGGAAATATCAAGTAAGCAAATGGCATGATAATAAAAAAAAAACAAACATTTGTCATTCGTAACAAACGATAATAATGTTTGTAGCAAAAAAAAAATGTTAATTTATATTTCGCAGATCTTTATAGAGGATACCAAAGCTAGTTTGTTGAATAAGAAACGTTCTATAGTAAGACTTATAAACAAAATTATATTCCTGGAGCGTGGGAAAGAACATAAAATATTATGGATCATAAAATCATTAGCATAAGCATTGTAACAATTAAGACGTAATGATCATGAGGCTTCCGCATTAAAAATAATTGCTTAAGTGTCGTTGAATATTTTTATTGTTATTTTATATTACACTATTAACGGGTTAATTAATACATGTATCATATTAAATCGATTACGATTGCATCGGGCAAGACAGACACTGATTTTACCTCTGTTAC